ACCCTTTAGTTAAGTATTGAATGAGAAAATAGAACAATATTAATGTTAATTTTATTCTGACTGATGATGTCGAATACATAAACTGCTTTTTTACTGTGACGAGTGTAGAATCAATGTGGGCATCCACGACTATTTCTGCCAAAAGGGATGCAACTTAAATTTACATTTACATTTAAGTTTATTTTTCATTATTCAATAATTTACATTATTCAATCTGATTAAGGATATAATCAAACGCAGGATCATTAGCACGGTATTGATAAAAGTAGGCTAGGCCGACATTGTGTTGCCCTCTTCGACGACCCTTTGTCCTATATAAAATCTTTAAATTCGTAATAAAAAATATTGAGGTTCACTTATCGGGATAAAAACTGTCCTATCTTTCAAGTTGGACCAAACTGCACACAGTGTGCAAAATTTCATTGAAATTAGTTCAGTAGTTTCGGAATTCATCCCGTACAGACAATATGACACGTAATTTTTATGTATAAAGATTTTTAAAAGTATGCGTTTATATGAATGTATTTGTCAGATGTTTTATCGTGCTCATATATTTCATTATAAAATCGGAAGATACTTGGTGGGCGGCGCGAAACTAAATCGTTTGCTCATTGTTGCAACGAGTTGTCTAGATGAGCACCATCCGTTAGAGTAGTCCGATGTAGAGGTTGATTTAACTCTTTTATAAATGATTGTCTTATTTAAGAGCGTCTAGCAGAAATAAATGACCTAATTTGAGATTCAACGTAGCCCATATATGAAAAATTCTGAGCCTTGTATAAAACCTCCACTAACGTTCAAAATTAATTGCTGTGTAATTGAAAATAGGGGTGACAAAGAGCACACAGTCAACCTGATGGTAAGCGAATGCTGTGACCCATATACATCTACATTTATACTCGATTAAGAATCAAAATGCAAATGCGTTGTCACCGCTGAGGACTAAGATGGAATGCCTCGTTTCCAGTAAAAAGGGTCTCTACACTCACTATACGAAACACAGTAGCATTAAGCTATGTCATTTAACGCTGGTATTCTGTGAGAGCGTGGTCCTTTCCCAGTCGAGCCGACACATTCGTGCTACAACCATAATAAGCTGCAGCGTGGCTCTACCACGTAAACGTTACGTGATGACAGCGTGAAAGTATCCATTACCTCATTTCATGCTGTGTTGTCGCAAAAGGAAGTAGTGATATAAGTATATCCATCGTCCATCTCGTATAATAATTACATGTAAAATACGCAGAACGGCGACGAGAAGCAGCATTAAAGGTCCTGTACTGTGACAATATAAGAAACCAGATGCTTTCGTTAATAGAGTCAGTATCATATAGAGTCAATATCATATCATTCGTTAATAGAGTCATAGAGTCATCATAAGAAGATTCAATGGCTAAAATGGTACTTACGAATGTAGCTTGTGCACTACAAGGAAAACTAGTTGCTAAATAACATCAGATACTGCAATAGGAGAGAGAAATTTGAATGTGTTTGTGTTTGTGCTTATATTTGTCTGGTTATTGTAGCCCAGAGATTATCATACCTATTTCTTTTACCGCCCCCTTTGACAATTATTTTTCAGAGCCCCCAATTTTTTATACACTCCTAAAACTTAAAAACCACAATTTCATTACTTTAATAAATTTAGTTATGGTGTGCTATATTAGTCGGTTCTGGTGTTTAAACTTACATTCTAAACTAGACATTATTACCAGTGAGAGCAATTGAAACGCTACTTTATAATATTAACAATATATTTTATTCAAATTAAAAGAAACAATATACGTAATCAATTTTAGTTTTAAAACTAATCTAATGAGATGGATGAATTTGATGATTTTTAACAAGTTTGTTGATATCAGGTTCGATTTTACTCAAAAACAGTCGTAACTCGCCACGTTCGGTAGCATGCAAAGGTTTCTTTGTTTAGTAAGCAGCGTATCACAGCGCTAAATCCACGTACACACAAATATGACGATGGGAATGCTATCAAAAATCGTTGAAAGATCGACCACAATCCAGGGTACAACTGCGGGATTGACTTTTGAAAGCAGCGACGACATTTTTTGTTTTTTATTAACTTCAAGTCATCAAGATTGATTCATTAAGCAATTTATAAAGGTCTGTCAGGTGTGCGATATCATTCTTTGATGTGATGAGGTTGTCGCGCAATTCTGTGTCTTTGTTTTCCAAGAACTCTACGACAGAGTCAAACAGATTGTAAAATCGAGTCAAACAATTTCCTTTTTGATAGCCAAAGCACTTCTGTGTGGAAGATCAATCGGTTAAAATCTTCATCATTAGTAACATAAAGCTGATTAAATCTGTCATTTAAAGAGTTGTTTCGGATTTTATTGACTGCTCTGATGACATGTTGCAATGATTGAAACAGTCGTTCACTTAAATTTCTAGCAACCAAATTTTGTGGACGTATAACGCAATGTACAGCAAGCACATCTGGAATTTTGTTATCTAAGTACGCTATGAAGCCTTTTTGATGCCCCATCATAGCTAGAGCACCATCTGTAGCAGCTGATATAATATTCTTTAAGGGAAACTTTTTTCATCACAAAACTTTTCTAGTGTTTTAAATATGGTTTCTCCTTTTGTGTCTGTCTCTGAATTTCTAGCAAATAATGGTTCTTGACATATTTTTTTCATCTTTAATACACGTCACGTAAGACAGCAACAATGCTTCATTAGTTGGTAAAGTGGATTCATCCAACTGTATTGAAAATTGACTAGTCTTCAGATGATTGCACAATGACTCTTCAATGTTTTCGGCCATTTCATCAATTCGTCTTTGCACAGAACTATGACTCAAAGAAATTTTTCGAATTATGTCTGCCGCCGGTTTATGGAGCATAGTAGTTATAACTTCTTTTATTGCCGGCAAAATTAACGTTCCTCCGATGGTGTGTGGTTTACCTGTTTGAGCAATTAACAAAGAGATATTGTATGAAGCTCGAAGTCCGTCATCGTCTTGCTTAGCAGCCACCGAAAAAAGTTTTGATATACTTGGCTGAGTGTTATGCTTCTTTTCCAGGTCTTGAAAATTGGCTACATTTTTGTCGTTCTTATCTGGATGCATTTTATTCAAATGATCTTGAAGTCTTGAAGGCATCATCGCTTCGTTTAAAAATTTTTTAAACAAAGAAGGCTCCAAGTCAGAGATGGATTTTTCTATTTTATATTGTACATTATATTGTCAAATTTTCTATGAATCTATATTTAATATATTCTGCACTATATTGCCGTCTCCTCTTTTTTGGTTCCGACGTGGCTTTATTTTTACAAATATATAAATAAAGTATTAAAACTTGTTTAAAGATTGCGCGCGAAACCACTAATGAAAATATAAAAATTATTAGGAGCATTTATATAGGATTTAAATACATACATATAAACATTTTTGAATCATTCTGTTTGCTGATGAAAATCGCATCAAAATACGTTACGTAGTTTAAAAGATCTAAGCGTACAGACGGCGAAAAGTGACTTTGTTTTATTTTTATTTACCTAATAACTAATAACCATAATTCAACAGACGCTAGGGGGTGCTTTTTCCGCGCTTCGCGCACTGTCAACCCAATTTATTTGCATAACATTCATCATTCCACAAGCTGCGAACACTTGTTCCGTTTTCCGACATACTTGTGTGAGACTGGTTATCAGCTGGTTTTAATCAAAACTAAACTGTGAAATCATTTTGACGTCGATAGTTAGATGGCAATAGCTCTAGCAAAAACTAAACCTAGAATCGACCAGTTGGTAAGAAACATGTTAGCTCAAATCACTCACTAATACAACCAACACTAACGCAGCCAGCGTTCTTGGCACGATACCGCGGGGAGTAGGACTATACGATAGTTAAGTTTCTAGGTTTAGTTTTGTTTGTTATTATAGTTTTTAATATTGTATATATTGCAACTAAAATAAATCATTTGTTCGACAATACTAGTAATAAAAGTTTAGTCTTCGCTTCGTTAAATTGGACTAAAGTTCACTTTGTATAAATTAAAGTTAAAATTGTCAAATAAATGTTGTTAAAATATTATATTCATATAAAATTAAAGGGGGACATGAAAATATTATTCACAATCCGGAATAGCTCTACTCAAAAAAGGTTGGGAAACCCTGCTTAAGACCTTTAGCTATATCCACAAACTAATAAAAAGTGCTAGCAATGGCGATATTACCATTTTGTTCTCGCCGGACGTAAAAAAACAGAACGACGACGTGAAGCAGTACCAAAGGAGCGATACCTCTGGTACTGTGATTATCAACGCGCCTGTCAAGCGTCCTGCATTCAAAGTAAATCCTCTTCACAGTGGGTGTGGCCAATATTCATCAGAGGACATTTACAGACTGATGAAGAAGAAGAAAATAATGTATTTGGCATGGCCATAAAATGGCATTATCAGCATTAAATTTAATAAATACTGACAAATAAAAACACAGGAAGGAAAGATAAGTTTTCCTTTTATTTTGATTTTGTTCACAATAATTGTTGTTGTATCACGAAACCTATAACATCCCACGGATGTCGTGAGTCGTGAACGTCGTGTATGGGCCATACTAGAAGTATCTCATGGTTTCCGATAAATGACAGTATCATCTCGTTATAAATCAGATTTTTATTGCGGCTGATAAAAAAGAAGAAAAATTAAGTATAGTCAGCTTTGTAATAATTAATTTATTGAAATTCTACCTTTAAAATTAGCTTTAATGATTTATTAGCTAAATATATTATATAAAAATATTTTTATTAGCGCGACTTCCTAATGTTAAAGTTGCGTTACACTAGTCATTCAAGTCTTTATAACGAGTGTCATAGAGTGGCACTGTTGCGAATTCGAGTTGCACTTTTATTTTCGTTGTCGTTCAAGGTTACTGATACCTGGGTTGATATTTGTGACGAGTCAGTGTTGTTGTATAGCTGTACTATAATAATGATTTTATTCATATTTTAACACATTATCATCACATGCATTTTAATGTTAGATTTCACACTCTCGGGCAAGTTTATTCAATTTTCCGTAGAATGAGTAGAAGAGGTCCCAGAAAGCCATCCTACTGTTGAGTATCCTGTGCTCTAACTTCATATCTGTATCGATCACCAAGTATGGTCTGGTATTTGCGATAACTGGTTCCCAAGTAACAGGTAATAATTCGGTAGTCATTGGTGTGGGATTCCTAAAATACAAATGTAAAATTATTATTTTATAACTATAAGATAATAAAGTAGGTCGAAAAATATAATAAAAAAGATCGCAAGGTTCACAGTTCTTTATGTAGCGTACAGACATGTTATTGAAAAGTTGAAAGAAACACTAATAAAACTGGTTAAGAGAGTAAAAAGAGTATTTAAGCTATGTTTAAATTGGTAAAAATTTAATGTAAGGTAGGGGAATTTTGTAACGCAAATCATATTTCTTAATAATTAAAGATATCGAAATAAATATCACTTTTAGTAGCGTATGAAGATAACCTTACCCATATTTGACAAAGTTCGCCCATAGAGTGGTAATACGATCTATTATCAATTGGTCATTATTGTCATTATTTGTGTTAGATGCTGGAAATAGAAAATTGATTTCAGCTGAATGCGCTGCAGCTTCTCCGCGAGAGTCACCAACGTAGCTAAATTCGTATTCATATAATGGATGTGCTTTCTCATTCAGCAGATTCGTAATCGTTCGTTGAGTTGGATGATTATGCATGAAATCTGATTCAAAACTTTCCAATTCCGATGATACCTCTGCTGAGATCGCTCTGTCGCCAATGTAAAAGTGTTTCACTATGTCTGCTGCTTCAGTCAATTGCTCTTCGTTTAGATTGAAATTATTACGAAGCTTTTCGTAAAATGGATCTTTCTTGAAATAGCTTTCGCCGTAATTTTTCAGGAATCCGTATTGTTCTTTGCTTGTGTGACCAATTAGTATGGGAGTATTTCTAACTTTCTTTTCGTTAGATAAAGAAAATGGATCAGTTTCAACGAAATTTTCCACACCGCTAAAAGATTTTTCTTTACAAGGACCTACTTTTAAGTTAATATCTGCTGCCGCTGCTGTAAGTAAATGAGGAGATATGCCCGCCAGGAATGTTAATGCTTCTTGAGTATCAGATGTATTAAAACCAAGGTGTGCAGCTAGTTTTAAACCTGCATCTACGTCTCCATTAACAAACATGCCTTCACTTTGTGGAGTGCCACTCTCTACGATAGCTTTATTGAAGAGTTTTTCTTTATCAGAATATAGATGAAGTAAAACCGAACTGGCACCCGCACTTTGACCCCCTATTGTAATATTATAAGGATTGCCTCCGAACGCCCGGATATTTTTTCTTATCCAACGTAAAGCAGTATACTGATCTTTAAGCCCTTGGTTACCTGGTACCAAAGGGGTGTCTAAGCACATAAATCCGTAAGGTCCTAGTCGGTAATTAATAGTAACGACGATGATCCCTTGTTTGACTAAATCATGCGCATCGTATTCTCCACCACTGCCGGTAGTAAACTGTCCCCCATGTATCCATACTAAAACAGGCAGTGGATTAAACATGCCCGCTGTTATAGGCACATAGATGTTCAGATAAAGACAGTCCAATTGACCGACCTCTCTTTTCGACCCTCTGGTGGAGGACGCAATTATCTGGGGACACTTCACTGAACCATCGTACGCGTCGAAAATTTCCTCTTCAAATGGCGCTGCTGCCAGTGCCGGCTAAAATAGATAAAATTTCATAAAACAGCTTTACAATTTATGAAAGAAAGCATTCCTACTCACAGCAATACAAAAAAATTATACATGTATTTTATTCACGCCATTGGCGCAGTGGTTGAGTCATTACTAATGAGTTGCAGCGCTGAGGCCCGCAGGTTCGAATCCCACTCGGAAAAGTATTGCTATGATCTACAAATAATTGTTCCAGGTCTGGTTATGTATGTTAGTAAACTGCCTCCTAAATACAGGAGAAATTCCTAGTGTGGCGACATTTGTAACGTTAGTACTAACTTAAGACAAATTATTTTATTCTTCCATGATATCTTCATATCGAAAAAATGTTTACTATGATAAATAAGAAAATTGCCTATTGCTTTCAAAAACTTTATTATTATTTTAATATAATTTGATGAAATGAATATAATTTGATGATTACTATTTTAATATAATTTGAATGTACTTACCCCGAAAGGGTTGCTAGGATCCACCTGCGCGTAAGGTATGCCTAAGAAAGACGAATATACATTATCTTTAGATTTTTGACCTCTTACTAATCCTTGTTCGATTAAAACAAGGGGATCCACACGAAAATTAGCACTGTTAACATAATTTGCAGCAAATAAAATAGACAGTAACCAAAGAAATTTCATATTGAATTGCCATAAAATATTTATGACTTCGAATTCCCAAGACACTTTCGGCGTGTATAAAATTCAAGGTGTTTGTCACTTACAAGTGGCTTATACCTTATATCTGAATCGGATTGATTTATCTGCCTATAGTCTGAAGTGTCCAATAGTACAAAAGAGATATGAAGCATTTGACAACTGCATGGAGATATATCAACAATTTGACGTAACAACACTTAAGAAAAAAACGTTCATCGCAATTATACGAGTATCTTCCTACACTTCATTTAACTCAAGGGAATTTTATACAAAAAGTAATGCGTGTTTATCACACACATGCTTGTGACCAAGTTTATGCTGCCGTGTAGTGACGGTGTAAGAATATCCTCTACCCCCATATCGCGGGTGTCGTAAGATGCGACAGAGGGGAAACAAATCAGGAGATGGGCAGCAGCGCCTTCCTAATAACGACTAAAAATAAAAAACTGCTGTTGCCAACCTGCTTGCCAAGCGTGGCAACTATGGTAAATATCCCCCCAATGACGCAATCTATGGGGGAGGCCTATGTTTAGCAGTGAACTTTAATAGGCTGTAACAATAACGGTGTGTTTTTTCGAGAAAGTTGCAAAAATTGTAATGGAAGCCGCTCATCTGGCCTCCTCGTATGAGAGGATGTTTCAAATTTTATGGAAAATCAAAGCGTTAGCATACATTTATTTTTCGCCAAAGATAATTTATGGTAGTTTACGTTTTGGATGTGTATCTTTAGTATTTTTTCGATATTGTCATGAAGAATTTCTTAACACGGCCCGTGTGCCCGGCCCTTTCACATCAATTTATCATTTTCTATTACGAACTTACAATTTCTGTTGCGGTAAGTACATATATCGTGTTAATAAAGTACATACAAGAGGAACAAAAAGATTTCTTATACATAATGTATTTTAAATTTACACGGAGGTCGTGCTAAAAGCGTTTGGCTGATACGACCACCTTTGAATGCATTTTTCTCCAAAAATACAGTAACAATGTAAAAATGAGGTACATACTCCTACAGGTGAGTACATTGAATTAGTGCACAGAACAAATGATTTATAAGGGTGGCCGAGCCAGGCAAACGAGCGTGATAAATAGTGATCTTGACAAATCAATATCCAATTAAGAATCTATTCAGTATTCAGTATTCGCTATTTGCGTGATGTATTGCCTCGATCATATTTCATGTCTCAATTCATGATATCTTCCAATAGTAATCAAAAATTGTTGTACTTATTGCTAATGGTACAACACGACTAAAAGTACTGACATTAAAAAATAAATGCTTTTTCTTTCACTCATCTTTCTTACTTTCCTTTTTACTGCAAACGAGGAATACCATCTTAGTCCTCAGGGGTGACGACGCATCTGCTTTTTGATTCTCAATCGATAACAGATGAAGGTGTGTTAGTCTGAAACCTAACAATGACATTTATTTCCAGCTCTTCTCCTCGTACTGGCTGTGCTTTTTGGAATATGGATACTATACGGTTTGGGCAAGCTGATAACGTCGCGGATCTGGCGCACAGGGAAGCTACGTTACGGGGACAAAGAGCTGGCAATACAGCAACGACTTCGTGCGCTCGACACGTTCAGAGGGTGTGTGAAACAGTTACAATGTTAATAGTTTTTATTTTTAAATTGAAATAACAAGCCAACTTACAGGCCACCTTGTGGCAAGTCCTGTCCACTGCTACAACCTGCAACCAAGTTGAAATAAAGAAGGCTACAAATTCGTTTTCATTTTTAAAGACTAAAATGGAATACCTCATGGACTGTAATTATACTTGCACTGCTGCTTGGCGCTAGAAATAGGTGTTACCTACTCAGATGGATGGAGGCAGTTGAGGAATCTTACCACCTAGTTAACAGTTTTGAGACAGTTTGTATAATATATTTAAATATAATAAGGTACGTGAGGGTAATATGGTCACTTTAAGCTTTGCCGTCTTATAAAACCAAAACTAGGAGGAGGACAGAGACAAATACACAATGTCGTATACTAATATAGAATAAGAACTAATATAGAAAAAAATAACAAAAAAGCCTTGGAAATAATTAGTAACACTTCAAAAAATCAACTTAAAAAATACTAACTATAATACGTGAGGGTAATCCGGTTAATATGGTCACTTTCTTATAACTCAAAAACTACAGCGTCTTTTGCATAGAGCGCTCTGTGATACGATAGCTCTTGATCAGTCTATCAAATAATAAAGGGTCAAAAAGGCGCTCCTTTATCGACGCCATTTTGACAGTTGATATTATTGTAAATATTTTAGTCAATTTTTGTATTGTGTAGTGTAGTTAATTTTTTTTGAGTAGATTTTTGAAGTGTTCCTAATTATTTCCAAAGCTTGTTTGCTATTTTTTTTTCTTAATATATTAGGTATAGTATACGACTTTGTGTTTTGTCTCTGTTTTCCTCCTAATTTTGGTTTTATAGGGCGATAAAGCTTAAGGTGACCATATTACCCTCACGTACTTACTATAATATCAACTGTCAAAATGGCGTAGATAAAGCGGCGGCCTTTTGACCCTTTATTTATTATTTGAATGACTGATGAAGAGCTCTCGTATCACAAAGCCATCTATACAAATTAGGCTGTGGTTTTTGAGTTATAAGAAAGTGACCATATTAACCGGATGACCATATTACCCTTACGTACTCTACTTCGAGAAAAAATAGTGGTTGTGCAATGAAATCCATAGAATTTTTTAACCAATTTCAAAAGAAAACAGAAGGGTATTTTATTTATTTCATTATATTTTTGACTACGAGTAGTATGTTTTTTATACATATAAACATGTTCATCGCTTTCTTGGAAACGGCTGAACAATTTAAATTATTATTTTTAATTTTTTTTTTATACTTAAGGTATGGCCATATATAAATTAAAAGAAGAAATACCATCCTTAAAGGTAAGAATAGGAAATTGAGATTTTAATGTACCTATTTAAACAAATTTTAGTTGATGAATACGGACATTAGTTACTCTAGGTACATTTACCTTGAACTTGTAATTTTCCTTAATTCTTAATTCTGACTTCTGAGGAATATATCAATATATTATAATATATTAATCTCAGTGTACAATGAAAATGTCTGTGCTTGGTATGTCTCTTCAGGATAAAATGCTTAACGAATGACAAAAGACAATAACGCAGAATAACAAAAGTAACTGTACTCGTAGGTCGGCGCCATAGCTCGAAGAACCGACAACCGATGGGAAAGAATGGTTCTAAGTGGCTGCCTCGTACTGTAAAGCGCCGTTTTGGGCTACTCCCCATTAGATGGATTGACAGTCTGATTAAACCCGCAGGTAATCGATGGATACATGTGACTCAGGACCGTACCTTGTGACTATCATTTAGTAAGGTCTATGTTCAGGGGAGAACTTGTGATGGGCTGCAGTGAGTGAGAATGAGTGATATTGACTCTAAGGAATTATTAATTCCAGGTAAAATAATTAAACTATTACTTGAAAGTACTGAACCAGGACTTAGAAAACTACTTCAAAAATTTAAAACAATATAAATCATTGTTTTAAAAATTTGAAGTCAGTGCTACTTTTTATTAAAAGTTTAATTATTGCTGTAGAAAATGTCATTTTTAAACGGCGTGAGAATGCTTAAATTTGAATTTAAAGGAAAAACTTGTAATAATAATTGCATTACAAGAATATTACGAACATAATATAAAATTAGCATACGTACTTCGTAATTTAAAAAATAAAATATGACAAATGTTTAAAATAGACGTGGTAGAGCCACGCTGTAGCTATATTATCGTTGTAGCACGAAATGATTGCAGCTTAATTTTGCTGTGTTTCGGATACCCTTTTTACTGGGAACGAGGCATTCCATCTTAGTTCGCAGGGGTGACAACGCATCTGCATTTTGATTTCTAATCGATGATAGATGTAGATGTCTATTGGCTACATCATCCATTTTACACCAGGTGACTATGTGCTCGTTTTCATTTTAAACTATAAAAAAATGTTTAATATTATTATCCATGTCGATTAAAATTATTCTATTCGATTCAATTTTTTTGTATTCTATTCATCACTTTCTATTTTCCTTTATTAGGATAGCAATTGTGTTCATGATTTTCGTGAATGACGGCGCCGGTGGCTACTGGTGGCTAGAGCATGCCACTTGGAACGGCTTGGCTGCGGGCGATCTCGTATTCCCCGCCTTCCTTTGGATTATGGGGGTTTGCATCCCGCTGTCAGTGAAGAGTGCCTTTGCGAAGGGGATACCAAGGTGGAAAATTCTTCTACACATCCTCAGGGTTAGTAAGAGACATGATAGAAATTTGCTAATGTTGGTAATCGTTGTTTTTGGAATGAAAACATATTTAGAATCGTTGTGATTTGAAATTCGATAAAACAAAATAAAAGAGACAAACAAACTTTAAAAAGGTAAAAAATCAGTAATGGTCCAGAAGAATGCAATGTCACCAATGCCTATCAGTTATATGAAGAGAGTATCTCATACTTTCTTCAAATAACTAATAAACGACGTTCTAGTGAACAATTGCTTTTGGCACATCTAGAGATGAGAAAGTATCGGCTTTGTGCTCACCATCACACGTTCATCGTCCTCGTCGAGTGTGGGTAAATCTTTCGATCGATGTCGTATTCTAGAAAAACGTTTATATCTGAATACGCTGCTAGAATTCAAAAGGCTGATAACTTAATATGCTCGTAAAATATCTAGGTACAAAGTAACGCGGACGTGAACATTAATTTCCCAGAACGAATCCGTGATCGAGTTCTTGCCTACATGATCCGATTAGACCGGATTCTTATTTAATTATTTTAAGATCCAGATTTATTTCAAAGCAACTGTATTCGGCGTCTCTATCAGTGTTATCTTTCCATTCTTTATCAGATTAAGTTATCAAAAACAAAGTTCCGCTTTTTGTCAGAAACTCTATTATCACGCAGTTTTCATGAGTCGAATTTCAAAGGTTAGAAATATTCTTATGACATGGGTTATTATTGAACTAATTAAAGATATTGTATTAATAAAAGCCCCCCTTAAAAATATTGACTTATAAATCATCTCTTGGTATCTTATATCGTTTTATATTTTTGGTTTTGGAAATTCCAAATATTGTATAATAGGGTCTAAGGAGTAAAGTGTCATCACGTCAGCATATTGGTATGTTTTTTTTTGCGCGTTTTTATCGATATTTTTGTTTACTCTGCTAAGACAGACCACATTAATAATTAATTTGTACATTCCTGTCTAGTAGAATGATATTACACTTGTTGTAAAACCGGCCATAGACGAATGGAGAGAACAGAAATTGTCTGCAGTAGTATAATCACAGACGAATCACAGATAAGACTGAAAGGTATTGAAACAAGCTTTAATCGGAAAATTCTGCCTGCAGAAGATTTGGCAGTTTTCGTACAAGCTTGATCATGTTGACGTTATCTCTTTTCCACTGGAAAAATAAAGAAAGCAATAAAAACGCCCATAAAATAACATAATGTCTAAAACATAATAATCACTGATGACATATTAACCAACGCTCTAGAAAACCTGCTGTGCACATGCTCAGAATATTAAATTATTATTAAATAATTATATATTATATTATTATTATAATTAAATTAAATTTGGTCGATTCCACAAAAAAAAATCTCGCAAAAATTTACCTATTACCAAAAATATATCGTGTAGTTAATGAAATTGAAAAAATATCAAATTTTAAGAGAGAAAGAGGCTGGATGCTATCATCTGCTTGGAATCCTATAATTTAAAAAAATAAATATTTAGCCTTAGCCTTTCAAATCACTGTAAAATTTCAGGATATAATCATTCTGATCACATAAGAAAAATTAATAATTTGAAACTGAAGATAGTCCCAGGTGATCATGGGTGGTACAAAACAAGCGAAACGGCGGAATAAACGTTATATCGGCGTAATGTTAACAAACCTTTATCTGAAGGTTACTTTATAAACACTCGAAAACCCTTCAGATTTAAAGACCAGTTTGCATCACGGCTTATGTAAAAGCTTATCGCTGTATGTAAACTGATGGTTCGGGTCGTTTATTTGCTCGTCCTGGGTGATACAAGAATACAACTACAAACTGGTAATGTTAATGTCGAGTTACGTAAGGCTCTGTATCTGGAAAAACAAGCTTGATCAGTGGTCAAGAAAATCTCCGCCTTAATGTCCCATGTTTGCCACATTTCCAACAAGTAAAAAGGGTCCTTAGGGTCCTTACAAGGACCCTTTTTACTTGTATTTTTACTATGCCAAAATCGCTTCCCAATACGTAGTAACTATTAGGTATATTATTCATTTCCTTTTTTCACTAAATATAACAAATAATTACGTCACTGCTCGTACATTTTTTTATAGAATTAGGATGATAAACGAGCACACAGTCCACCTGATGGTAAGTGGTTGCTGTGACCCATAGACATCTACATATATCCTCAATAAAGAAACAAAATGCAGATGTGTTATCACCCGTGAGGACTAAGATGGGATGCCTCTTTTCAAGTAAAAGGGGTCTCCGGTTCTCCACACTCACCATACGAAACACAGCAGTGTTTAGCTGCTATTTTACGCTGGTATTCTGTGAGGGCGTGGTCCTTCCCCGGTCGAGCCGACCCATTCCTGCTACAACTATGCCAGTAATATAGCTGCAGCATGGCTCTACCGCGTATAAATGATGATATGATCTTAGAAACGCATATTTTCATAATCAATCAACCAACTTCAAATAACCAAGAAGAACACAGTTGTTCAGCTTGAATGATTTGAACCCATGAGCATTATTTTTCTTCATCATTGGCCCACCGCCGCCACTGCTGTAAATAGGCCTCTCCCATTGTAGCAAACCCATATGCAAAAAGATAAAATATCTCGCTCGCAAACTGTAATTATATTGGCTCTCTTTCTGAAGATGTTACCAGAATGACAGATGGGATGGAACCTTTCTACCAGTAAATGTGTTATAGAATCAGAGTTATGATTCCATAGAATTCATACTCAAATAAACTGAACTTGCAACTAACTTCATAATTATTACAGATATTGAACAAGATTGTATTGAATTGAAGCTTTGCCGTGTAATGACCACGCAAGGGAATCCATCATACTTTTTCGCCACATGTGTGTCATAGAAGTCACCTATCGGAAATACCAGAAAGCTTGCAAGACTCCTGACAAATGCCAGTATAAACGTCTCGTTACGGCGAGGATTTCCGATGTTAAAATTTTTAATTTTAACATCGGAATCCTCGCTTTTAGCGCTCACTGCTCCGCTGCAAATTCATCGAGCACGAAGTAAGCGTGCGACATAATATGGCGGACAAAAACTTACTTTAACATTTTTACTTATTATTAGGAAATAAACCCTGAGTGCTACGACAGAATGCCTCGTTTCCTCACCGTGTGTTTCGTATACAGCGGCATTAAGCTGTTTTACACTAGTCGAGCCGACGTATACGTGCTACAACCATATTAATATAGCTGTAACGTGGCTCTACCACGGATTATACATACGTGTCTATTGAACTCCACTGAGTAGTTGAATTGATTGTACGTTTTTATACATTTTATTCTATATTAAAACTAATGGTAGAACTAGGTAGACAAATCGAAAACGTGCACAGAGCTACGGTCCATTTGTACTGTTGTGCTTTACGCAATTACGAACCTGAGTAATTCTATCTAACTAAGCGCTCATACCACAAAGGTTAAAACTGAGCAGTATCACGTAAAGATAAATGTCTTCAACCAGTGCGTTGTACTTGTATTTACCAATGGTATGACTGGTATGCTATGCCTCGCTTAGCTAATGGTCGTGAACGCGATTGCTGATCATGAAGTCCCGGCTTCAAATCCCGGTCGGACGAAATCAGTTATTGAGTTTTTCTGTGAAGAAATTCTGAGTAACAGCCCGGAGTCAGGAAGTTTGCGGTGTTCCATTGCGGTGTCCCCGTGCCCCAGAAAGCACGTAATGCCGTTGGTTCTGCAACAGAGTTTTCTCCAGTCGTTTCGTATGATATAAATATATATACAATGTTATTTTGCAATAACCGGCCAAATTTGCAGAGAAGGTGCGGTATGAGTAATATTGTCAAATGGTGAAGAAAAATAAATTAAAATAATCTCAAACATTCTGTTTGTTCAGTAATAAACCGCAACCCACAAAATTTATACCGAGGCACAGTGATCTGCTGCGATCTGAGCGCCGGTTACACCTAGTGGCAACATTGCGACGTAACATACGTTGTAATAATCTGTGGAGTTAAAAAAACGAAGAAGAATCCATATACATTCTCTTTGTGTTATCGTGATGTTAATATCTCTCCAAAAACTTTAAAAAGGGACTACTCCAGAGTGTACCGTGTACAATCTAATTGATAGTGTATTCTACCGTGTAGAAGAAGCTACCAGGAGCTGTCAACGTTTGCGGATCTAGTAAGACCGTGAGTAGTTTGTTCCTATTTTTGGTGTGGTTTTGTAACTGCGGTAACTGAAAGTTTCATGGGATTTAGAATCTCAATATAGCTCAATATAATTATTTTATTAGATATAATAACTATATCTAATAAAATAATCCCAATCCGTCACACTGTTAGTTTTATCTTTTAAATTAAAAATGCGTGGGAATGCATTATTTTGATTGATTTTACTGCCCACGCACACTTCCGTAAGGGTCTATCGGTAGGGAAAAACGTTGTTGCCCATAAATTTCAAATAAAGGTAGAAGCCTTATTTACTCGTATTTTCAAAACTGCAATGACGTCAATATTTATACTCCTTAAAAAATAGCCCTGTGTATATAATGTCCTCCAGACCGAATTTTGGTCACGGCAGCCAATCTTAACCAAGACTAGCTATCTGTGCAGGACAAGATTATAGTTCCCAAGTGTATGCGCACGCACACGTTATTAAATGTGGACACTGACGATACGACTACTCCACAAGCTCAAACTCGTTCAGCAAACAAGGGTAATAGCTATGCTCTGCTCTGTATTTGTCTGGTAGATAAAAATCAAAATGAAGAAATCCGCGAAGAAACAATATTTTTCAGCTTTTAAACAGAAATACGTACGCACAGCAACGGGCTTGTCACGGCTGACACAGAACCATTGGAATAGAGTTGTCATAGTGTGGAGAAAGCTCCTTGGCAAACGCAAGCTTGGACGCCGCCTGACTAGATGGAGCAACGATCTGCTCAAGGTGGCTGGTCGCACTGTAGTACACAACTAGATACGTGTAGCCGAAAATCGGCCTGTGTCGCACCTTAGGAGAGGCCTATGACCAGCAGTGAACACTGTTTTGACCGTATCTTTGAATATATATATCTATCAAAGGCCTCAATAACCAATCACCATGGTTGCTACGAGTACAAAGCACTTGAAACACGTTCGCACGTTGTTATTATTTTATGAAAAAAAAATGCAATAAATCTGTAAAATAAAATTTTAAAATAATAATAATCTGTAAAATTAAATTTTTTCTTTATTTTTTTCAAAAAAAAAAGAAAAGAAATTATGCGCAGCCCCAATGCCTGTTGACCGACTTCACATGTCTGCAAAATGTTATTCAATTTCTCAGACATCCAGTTCCCTCATGATATTTCCTGATGATTAAAATTTAATACCTGCATTCATAGGTTATAAAGGGTTTTTGAAGTTCTACTTCTTTTGGGGCGTTTGTGAAAAATGACGAGAAAGAATTTTTATTATTTCCAACACCTAAAAACGACACCATGAAGTTATTAGGATGCGCGCACGCTAACACCTAAAAGCGACAACTTCAGTGGGTAATTGTCTCTCAAGTTTTTCTTTGATTTGTTACGCTAAAGAAGTATAACTTCCTACGTGCGTACATAAGTACACACACACTATCTTTTTCAAATTAAAACTGATAATAAACGAATGTATATTTCGAAATAATTCCTTTAAAACTTGGTCCTGACGTCAAGGTGACTGGCCACTTTCTTCCAGATTTTTTTGAATAGTACCAATAGGTAGAAAAATTTGGTAATATACCAGCAGGGTAGGCAGAGACTACACACTTCTATTTTCCACGATCCTAACACACTTCTTTGGCTTCATTCGAACCCATAATTATCTCTATGCATAAATGTTTGTCGGATATGGGAACTGTTAATTTGGCCCGTCTTTAATATAGCGACAATTCGGTCGAGAAACTTCCGTCTAAGGATTCTATTTATCCATATGGGGAATTAATTTATTCGCTTTGTCAATTTCAAGAATAATCTCATTGTTCCTATAGAAAATAGTTAATATTATAACTTTGATATCGATTGATTGCTTTGTAAATAATAGGAATTTAAAAATATTTGCCTGTCTAGTTACAGTGCTTCCTGGACAGATTTTCTGTAAATATTGCTTAACACTCTTTAAATGCTACCAACGCGTTCACTTTCACTTCTTACATCATTTAGATTTCCTTTTGTTGGACATCATGGACCAAATCTTGCATGCTTCGGATGTAAACAACATGTTAGTATATTAAATAATTCATGTTCCTCTGCAAAATACTTCATTAGAAATTCCGCGCTCGCGTGTTGCATCGAATTCCCGAGCTCTCTCCAACCTCAACGATAATGATTGAGCTACAACCAACTCTTTGTTACTTCTAATGGTATTACAGACACGTAGATTAATCACTTGATATTTATGACTAGCTAGTGTGACTTTGTCTGTGAGAATGCAAGACAAAAAATCACTTAGTAGTGCCATTTCAGATATAACATCGAAAAAAGCAAAAATGGGCCAAGGGTTATTCACAGTTCGTGTAAATTTTATGTCGATAGCTGCAATAGTTTAAGAGATAATATCGTTCATACAGACAGATAATTTTAAATTTCACGTTAATTTCTAGTCAAGATCAATTATAGTCACTCATATTATAGAACAATCAGAAAACATTTCAATGTTGAAAATTCGAGACTGACACTACAATTTTAGCGTAAATATTAGTACCATATATGTAGCACATCAATATAACGATAGATTTTGTAATAACGCGGATCGTTGAAATGTAAACTATTTTTATATGTATAGTATTATTATAAAGCCTTGTTCATATATAGTTGGCATGCAAAACTACAAATCCCTCCATGCTGCTAATAAAAGCGCAAAGCACCAAAAAATATACCTTTAAAATATATTAATTTGAAACCTACTGTTTTTATTTTTATTTTTTGCAATTTACTTTATTTTTAAAAGTAATAAGCCTCAACAATACTATATTTTATAAATAAAAATTGGAACACTACTTTTAGCACTAATATTTCCTATAGAATTAGTAATCGGAAATATTATAGTGCTAAATATAGAATCAAATCTAGTTGATTTCGACTTTCTTGCGCAAGTCGAAATCACATGTTATTATGATATAAAAATTGTATAAGTTTTTGTTTGTTGTTCAGCGTTCAATCATGATGTTCCTGCTGGGCGTCTCTCTGAATACGATGTACGGTTCAAACATGTTGGGCGAGCTCCGCATATTTGGGGTTCTGCAAAGGCTCGCCGTGGCCTACTTGGTAGCGGCTGGGTTCTATGCTCTTACTGCTCCAAAATATTACACACCGCCACGAGTAAGTATTAATATATATTTATAAATATGCAAATTATAATTATAAACTAACCAACACCTTAACCCTTTTGGAAATGAGAGCAGGTCTGTGCCCAGCTGTGGGACGTATATAGGCAGTAACTTTACTGCAGTAATACAACTTTATTGCTTACTCAATTACTTATTTGGAAATTTATCAGGATATTGGTATTAGAACAGCATGTTTCTAAAACGAACACGTAAATATCTTAAAATGGATATTCATAATCAAATCAAATATTTTGAGGTTAGAATTCCTAAAAATTTATTTGGAATTGTCATCTTTTTTTGCCATAGTTTCCATGTTGGCAGACGGGTTGACAAGCGCAGTTTTATTTATATTTTAAGCGATAACATCAGAAAGATGCTGATTCACATCTGCTGTTTCATTTCCCTCTTTCGCTACTTACGACACCCACGGGATGATATAGGGATGTGATTCTTACACCGGCACTGCTACACGATTTCTCATTTATAATATTTATTCACAATATAGAGCTTGTATGAATGTTGGTACGTTTATATGTGTTATTCTATCACACAAACGGTTGAACATTAAATTTTAATGAAATCTGGTATAGATGTATATTTTATCATGGAAAAGGAAATAGAATACTCTCTATTACGCTATGAATCGAGGTAATAGCGATACACGTATATTAGGTATATAAGATTGGATCAGCTAAGCGGACGGGTATTGCTTATACTGCTACTCGTATATTTGTGAAAGTTTGTGAAGATGTTTTGATGTTTCTTACTCATTGACACATAAATGGCTTCACAGTACTAGATAAAATCTAGATCTAGATAAAACAGTCGTTTCTGTTTCTACGCAGCTGGAGCCTCGGGCAGAAGGTAGCATGATATTAATGTTTTGCCTATAACACATGCTATTCATGCCCTGATATTGTTGGCTTGATCATTAGCTAGCATACCTACTTATTTAACCAACCACCTTATATTTTTGTTTCATTAAAACATGTAAAGAGATTTATGAAATGCAACGGACACCCAGTTCACAATTCACCATGCAAAATATTGTTGCGTATTTTTTTTTAATAAAAGCAATGGTAATAAACGGGCAAACAATCCACCTAATGGCTTGTGGATACTGTGGCCAATAGACACCAATAGACACATGCACCTAGCCTCGACTAAAAATCAAAATACAATTGTAACCTCTGAGGACTAGGATGAAATGCCTCGTTCTTTCATGTTGGAACTTTGTGCGTGTGTTTGCGATATATTTTGTGAAATTAAAGTAACCAACAAGCTGACATTCTACCTGTTGGTATGTATCTTACTTTAGCGTATGGACGCTTGAAACTTACTAGAAACAGATGCGTTGTCAGTTGTCACGCGAAAGGTGAAGACGTAGAAAGGTTCTATCCCTTAAAACAGTCACAGTTAGCAGCACAGACACCAACAACTCAAACTGGCTCTTAGGTAAAAAAATTACCCTATCATCTACAAAAGACGTTAATCGTGTAGAACATGATCGATTATTGTTTACTGATGTTCAGAAAATATGCAAATCATTATTTCGGTAAAAACAAATATTTCTTTACCTGTTGAATCATGAAAAAGATTTTTGCCTAATCAGCTCAAAGAGATCTTGTTTTTTAATTCTTTCTAGTATTTGATTACGTCCAGAAAAATATACCCTCAAGATTGCTTATTTTGAGGCTCGCTAAATCCATGAAGTCAAAGAGAAACCTCTGATTAAAGTTTAAAATCGACAAACTATTTTCTTATGTTTGCCTTATTAATTATATTAGTAATTTATATTAATTAATTACATATTTAATGAAATATTACATTAAACTCTAAATCTCGGTTGATTTAGTGAATTTCATCATTAATGCAATTATTCTACACCAAAATTGTTAATTAATTCTATTTTAATTTCTCATTAATTTTCATCCTGACTTAGTAATTGTATGGAGCATCCGATTGTTAATTTTTTTGACAAATTGTAAATACTTTTAGTTGCGTTTTACTCAACCTGAAAACCTTCAAAGTTAATTTAGAACTGCGTCCGAGCATGCTATTGCAAATAGTGAAGATAAATTCAATTACCGTCAATTTTTAATGAAAATTTCCTGTTGAGTAAAAAGATCGAAGGTGCTGGCCACTTAAAACAAAATTGAGTTGTCGAAACTATTTAAACATTAATTACTTGAGAGAGAGTTAGAAATAGTTTTTATTTTTAGGATAAGAATATTTAATATAAAAATATATAATCAAAGAATTATGTCGACTAGTGACAACTTAGAAAAGACTTTCATTTAAAAAAAAAGCCTTGGTGTAAATAAAACAAACTTTTAAAGAATTTTTTTTTTCTATAATTAGGTAATATCAGTTACAAGTTATCAGTTACAAAAACAAGTTTTTTATATTCCGTGGTTACAAATATTTAAAACTCGTAAGCAAATTAACATACGGATTTTATGAAGTTTGTTTTGTATACTCAGTGTCTCATTTATTACTTTTCTTTTTTTGGTAGTAATAATAAGAAAACAATTATAGTTTATGTTCTTTTATAACATAATAATACAGATTTATTAGGTTTAATAGGTTTAAAACTTACGTGTAAGTTTCTTTTCATGTGTATATTTTTATTTTTAGCATCAGTTTTATATAAATATGATTTTGTTCCAGGGGGCATGTGGGCAGGCATTCAAAGATGTGTTATCATGTGTGTGGTGCTGGGCGCTGGTTGGGGTGCTGGTGGCCGTTCATACATCCATTACATTTATCGTTCATCACCCTGACTGTCCCGCGTGAGTATTTACAATTAAATTATAATGTTTATAAAATTTATAAAACAAGTGAAGATATTTTTTTATAGAATATGGGTGACAAACGAGCACACAGTACACCTGATGGTAAGTGGATGCTGTGGCCCATAGACATCTACATGTTTCCTCGATTAAGAATCAAAATGCAGACGCGTTGTCACCCCTGAGGACTAAGATGGAATGCCTCATTTCCAGTAAAAAGGGTCTCCGGTTCTCTACACTCACCACACTAAACACAGCAGCATTAAGCTGCTATTTTACGCTGGTATTCTGTTAGAGCGTGGTTTGTTCTACCCGGGTCGAGCCGACCCATTCGTGCTACAACCATAATATAGATGCAGTGTGACTTTACCATGGTTAAATTTCTTGTCTGTTTAAAAATCTCAGTGAAAATCTCAAAAGACTTTTCTAAAATGAAATAAAAAATTAACGTACTGCAAGTAGCATCGCACGTCAATTCCTGAAGCTACATGGCCGACTCCTTACCACTTTATTACTCTTGTTAAGTTTCTCCCACACACAAAAAAAAAATGCAAATGGACCGTTCCCATACGTAAAAACGCATGGGAGCGGTCCGTTGGCATTTTTACGTGGTAGAGCAATGCTGCAGCTATATTGATAGTATAGTTGTAGCACGAATGGGTCGGCTCGACAGACCGACTCGAAAATAGCAGCTTAATGCTGCTGTGTTTCGTATGGTGCGTGTAGAGAACCGGATACCCTTTTTACTAGGAACGAAGCATTCCATCTTAGTCCTCACGGGTGACAACGCATCTGCATTTTGATTCGTAATCAAGGATAGATGTAGATGTCTATGGGCCACAGCAACCTCTTACCAGGCGGACAATGTGCTCGTTTGTCATTCTTATCCTATAAAAAAAGTGTTCATGTTTTTTATTGTTGCAGTGGTTACCTCGGGCCCGGCGGGAAGCACGACGAGTGGGTGGCACCGGAGTGCAGCGGCGGCGCGGCCGGCTACATCGACCGCCTACTGCTGGGCGACGCGCACCTCTACCAGAACAGCGACGCGCGTCGTCTATACGGCGGCCCCCCAACCGACCCCGAGGGTATATTAGGTAAAGTTACTATTATTACACAAGCGCTTCGTCTGTCTATAAATGTGAATGTATGTTCGAATGGGTGTTTGTCCTTTAATCACGTTTGGTTGGACGGATTCTAATGAAATTTGGCATAGAATTCGATCTTTTTCCGTAATAAGATGATACTTTTTGTTACAGTTATTTATTACATTACTGAAGTTTAATTTAAGACGAGCGAGCAAAACTGCTATTTTACCCTTTTAAAAAAGCACACATACTTTTGGAAACTTTTAGAGAAATTCCACAAAGTATCTACTATTATTTAAGTCATGTTTAAAAGAGAAAACCACAATATTGCAACTTAGTTGCTGCTTTCCACCACATCACGCTGTGGACCTTAAGGCTTTTACAGATTGATCAAAAGAGACTTATGAGTAGAAGATTTGTGAGTAAGAAACTATGCTTAATTCGACTCCTACGGCCGCAGTATGGGGCCGTGCATTATCATGCATGAAAACAAATCTATCTTCAATAAAAGAGGCAAATGTCACTACGATTTCTTCCAAAATCTCAGCTATGATCCATTCTCAATGACGCGGAGTTCCGTACGAGCCTCATGTAAATATCTCCCCACACAATAACTGATCCTCCATCATATGCCTCTTTTCCAATGATGTTACACTGAGCGTTCTTCTCTCCCGGGCGGCACACTTTAATCTCTCTATCATATGGCTTCAGACAAAATCTGGATTCATCTGGGAATAAAAATTGACTCCAAGCTTCGTCATTCCAATTTTTGTGATTGCGAGTAAAATTAATTCGAGCTACTCGATGGCATGTGGTAAGAAGGGAGCCTCTGGCAGGCAAATGTGAATATATTTTCCAGTCGTTTTCCGTTTACGTCCGTGTCCTGCAAATCTTGTATACTGTCCGGTCTGCAGATACCTCTTGATAACTTGAATGGCATTTAGATTTAGCATTTTCAGTTTATTTGCAGTAACAATTCACACTTAACACAATAAACAAGGTAGTCAAGGCAAAAATTTAAACAAAACCTAAATTTAAACTCAAATTCAAAACGTTGGTAGAGCCATGCTGATGGTCAGCTCGACTGGGGTAGAACAAACCACGATCTCACAGAATACCAGCGTAAAATAGCAGCTTAATGCTGCTGTGTTTCGTATAGTGAGTGTGGAGAGCCGGAGATTATTTTTACTGGAAAAGAGGTATTCCATCTTATTCCTCACGGCTGATAACGCATCTACATGTTGAATCGCAAACGAGGGTAGATGTAGATGTCTATGGGCCACAGCAACCACTTACCATCAGGTAGACTATGTACTCGCTTGTCACCCTTACCCTATTAAAAAGAAATAAAAGAACGCAATAATTACATAAAAAACAAATTAAATTCGAAAATAAAACAAAATATTCAAAAGCTTTCTTTTTTTGATAACTTTTACTAATGTTTGTGGCCAGTGCGAACGATAATTACCAGAAGAAAAACTTTTCTTTTGCGTTGCTGTAAATTTGTCCATGAGTGTATTTAATATAAATTTTTAAAATATGGAAGTGGTAAACGGGCTAACACAGCCCAGGGTACGTGCTTATTGAAGCCTGTGCACGGACATTTTCAATTTCATTCTATAGCCGGTTATCATAAGTAGTCGCGCCTGCGAGGCTGCGAGCACTTGTTCTCAGCAAGGAGGCAGTGAAAGTAGAGTAGTATAAGGCAGGCTGTGTGCGGTGTGACGGCAGGTTGCGTGACGTCGGCGGTGCAGGCGCTGCTGGGCGTGCAGGCGGGCGCCACGGCGCTGCTGCAGCGCTCGCACCGCGCGCGCGCGTCGCGCTGGCTGGCCGCCGCGCTCGCGCTCGCGCTCGCCGGCGCGCTGCTCGCCGGCTGCTCGCGCGACCACGGCCTGCTGCCCATCAACAAGAACTTGTGGTCGGTGCCCGCCGCTTTACGTTCACTCACTCATTCATTCATTCGTGGAGCCACGCCGCACCCATGTTGCTAGTAACACGCTCTTGCAGAACATCGCCGTGAAATAGAAGCTTAATGCTGCCCATCGATATATGTACTACGTACTAGATTGCGCATTCCGAACATACACTATGTTCAACTGAACTGTACTGCAATCCGTACAGTGTGTCATTTGGTGTGGTCTTAATTCATGCAGTGTGGAGCGTCGCTAATAATACAACAGTTCAAATTAAAGTTTAAATTAAAAACTGACCGCGCAGACGCAACGCGCTTAAATCAACTGCGTATGCGCGACTCTACTATCTCTCGCGCATGCGCGAAAACATAGAGTAGAGCACATTTTTTGTTTAGAATGGCTTCTCTAGTACGTAGTACATAAAACTCAATGATGCTGCCGTGTTTCATATGCTGAGTGTTGAAGACCGGAGACCCTTTTAATTAGAAACGAAGGGTAATAACGCATCTGCATTTTGAGTATTAACCGATAAAAGATATGGATGTCTATGGGCCTATACATTAAAAAAAAAAGAAATTGTAAGTAGTTGCATTGTACCAATAAGTTATATGGTAGAACCACGCTGCTGCTATATTATAGTTGTAACATAAATGGGTTGGCTCGATCGGGGTAGAACCACGCTCTCACAGAATTGATATTCTGTGAGAGCGTGGTCTGTGGTGTGTGAGCGCAACCAATATCCACAGAAATAATAATAACAGTAAAATAATTTTTGAATAGTCACTTTGGTTAGAACATCGACGCTGTATCAGAATTTAGTGATACTGTGGTTGGTCGATGTAGCATTCCTCTCACTTTAGCCAAAACACCTCGTGAGTCTGCGAGATTGGCAATGAGAAAATCCGACCTTAATGCCTATTTTCCTTCCACTTTCCATCTGTTCACTCAGTAATAGGTACATACATCCTGCACCTGTTTATAATATATGTAGGTATAAAATCACTTTATGGCTAGGTCTGTTACGGTGATAGGGAAGTAGGGTTGTATTAGGAAGGGACGTTAGGATTAGGACAGTTAGGTTACAGTTCTTACCATTTCTGTGTAATCAGTAAGCCGTAAAAGAAATTAAACTTTTATTCAGTATTACTTTAATAGACACACAAATAAAAGACACCCAACAATATTTATCGTACTAATACCATAAATAGAGATTTTTTAGTATATAGAGTGAATAGAGGTATCTAGATAGTGTTAACTCTACACACCTGATGATTTCTTATATTTACGCAAACACTACACATTTAAATAAAACTAATTTTACGGATATTATCGCGTATATTAACTTATCTAAGCAGTATGAACTTCAAGATACTGTAAGTTCACACAGCGTAGATCGGAACAAAAATTAATAATTTTTAATCTGGAGGTAGCCGTGGTTAACTTATGACATTGGGACATCATACACCTCAGTCCCCCCCGTGAACATGAGTGCTGTAAAGTGCTCGAAACGTCGGGAATATAAAATATGTTAATATAAGCGATAAAATCCGTAAAATTAGTTTTATTTAAATCTACACGGGCATATGTGTAAGGAACCAGGAGTGGTACTTTCTGATTAAATAATCAGAATAATCAGCAGCAAACATCAATCCTTCATAATGAATAATTATCTATGCGTTATCGCTCCTAACTAAAGTGGAATTCCTCATCACTCATCATATTATGACAGTCAGCAACGGCATTCCGTTATTTAACGTCGGTATTGTGTTATGTAATTTAAATTTAATTTTTATTGTTATTTCAGGTCTATGTCATTCGTTCTGGTCACGACGGCGTGTTCGCTGGCTTTGCTCAGCATTTGCTACACGTTCACGGACGTGTGGCGCATTTGGGGAGGAGAACCGTTCCGAGCCCCGGGACTTAATGCAATAGCCCTGTACGTCGGTCACTCTGTCTGCGGGCATTTGTTCCCGTTCCACTGGCGCATTCCCCACATGCGCACCCACTCGGTGTATCTTATTGAAGCGGTTTGGGGCACAGCACTCTGGGTGATCATTGCCCACATCATGGCGAAGAAGAAAGTGTTCATAACCCTCTGAGATTACGCCACCTACGACTCCGCATTGACTGTTAACATAGCCGAGTACGAGCTATTTTCGAACGGTCGTGTGAGAGATGTGAGGCAAGAGACTGACATTGTGCGGTTGCGAAATGCGCGGGTTCCGACTGATAAGCAATATATACTCCCTCGTTCACGTATTTGCACGCCGCTTTTGCCACGTAGACGTAATAGAAGACGTACTGTTGTATCTTTGTAGTGTAGAATGTTTGAGTGAGTTTACTCGTTGACTCGTTGTCCTACGTGAGCGAACTGAAAGCGAACGCGATTCGACGCGGCTAATCTTTCCTATATGCCACTGCAAGTATCATAGATGGATGGAGTTGAATCTTAATAAAAAGCTCGTATTATCTATTATATTATGTTAATATTTTATACTGATAACAAATACTGTTACGGTTGCCAATAATATTGGCAACTTTCTCTCCGTCTATCTATATATCAATATTTCTACCAATCGCGATTATAAGTAGGTACAATGTATATTCGTCGTGTTATGAGTTTTGAAATCAAACATAAGTCAATCGAAAATATCTAAAATTGTGCTCTGAGCATAAATTTTCTATTATGTCAAATTCACATCGCCATCGAGTATCTAATGTCAAAGCACAGTTCCACTTACCTCCGCCAGGAGCGCTGTTTATATTTCCATACAATTATAGTCGATGATTATATATATATTAGTGTGAAAAACTTAAGATCTAGCCTTCGCGTTATATTCGCTTACGTAGGACAACGCGCCTTCATAGAGATTATTACAACGACTAAGCTAAGATGCTGCGAGATAACTGCTAACATTAACAACGTTCATTATATTTTTTATATTTTGTGTATACCTACCTAACATACCAACGTCTAGAAAGTAATATTAGCAATACGGATTGCTTGCGATTAATTCTACGCAATTCAAGCGCCGATAATATATTTTAATATTGCTTTTTATTACTAAAGTAAGCACTAAAGTTATTTTAAGAAGCACTTGTGTAGGCTCAGGACGAATTAATAATCTAAAATAAAGTGAGTTTAATTTTTTTATAACGTAAGTTTGAAATTATTCTCAAAGGCAAAGAACTGTTTTTCTAGCATTAAAGACTGAGGAAATATAGAGAAGTCATATTTTTGGCATTTTATTAGAATTAATCTAAAAATTTTAAAATCTAGTCTCCATCTGTCTGAAATAGCGAATCCTATAATAACTTACGTATGTAAAAATATAGAGTTTAAGACGAGTTTGCATAGCATAGGAATTAAATAAGTTATATACGAATAGTGTTTTAAATGTTAAATCTTTATAATTTACTTGATTTGCATAAAAGATGATTTGAATGAGAGACGCGGCAGCTTAATACAAGTCCTAGAAAAGGTGACTACGGTAAGAGTAAAATTAGGGCTAATAATTTTCTGCTTACCAGATGTCGCTAGTTAACACTGAGGTAAAATTTTAGCTACATAGTGTCATTTAATTGAGAAATTGGTTTTTAATAAAAGTTTATCAGTTTCTAGAGTATTATATTAATACACAAAACAATGCATCAGTGGTTTGTTCTTTAATTTCTTGCGCTTTTTTTTTAAAATTTCTTCTTTTATGGATATTAGTGGTTTGGTTTATTTATTTTTAATCTTATTAATATAAAATATAACTAATATTACAGAAAGAAACAGTAACCTTTACATTTTCCTAACAAATTAACTTCCCCGCTATGAAATCTGTCAAATATTATACCTCCTTCTAGTGGCGCCGTCCTGGTGGCAGAAAAAGTCGTGGATGCCGATGTCGTCATTATAGACTGCGAGCATTGATATACAAAAACCCTTTTTAGTATATCAATGACTGCGAGATATTTCATCTCCCACACGATGTCTTGGCAGTGTGTTGCGATGCCTAAGCGGCGACGTGGCGTCGTCATATACAGGGTTATTTTTCAGAGTAGCCAAATTTTAAACTTAAAATGAAATTATTCCAAATTGAATGTGATTTATGAGCAAGAACGTTTTTGCTTACCGATCGACCCTTACGAATGTATGCGTGCGCAGTAAAATCAGGTAATGCATTATCACGCATTTTGAATTTAATAACCGGCCAAGTGCGAGTCGGACTCGCGCATGTAGGGTTCCGTATCATCGTAATACACGTTTCTAGTAGGTAGTATTTGATGTTATAACGGCAACAGGAATACACATTCGGTGAAAATTTCAACTGTCTACCTATTACGGATCATGATAATGATATGACAGACAGACAGACGGACGGACGGACGGACGAATGAACGGACGGACAGCGGAGGCTTAGTAATTGGGTCCCGTTGGTTACCCTTTGGCTACGGAACCCTAAAAAGGACAGAATGTTTTTAGCTTTTTTAATTAATTTTTCTTCCCAATTTGCCTATGTTATTCATTTTGAACCTCCTCTGCCTCCTTTGGCCGGTTATTGCAAAATAACCCTGTATATAAATGACAGTGACGTCATAACGTGTGGTGCATTGCGTGTTGCGTGCGACATCCGTGTGCCCGTGCGACACTCAATGCGACGATATCATAGCGGTGCAATAACGCAACGCACTATAACAACGGCCGTGTGTCTCCAAGATTCTTCGGCAGATGTCCATGGGCTGTAGTAGCCAATGCCCATAGCCTAGTATATAAATAAAAAAAAGCAAAGCCCTAGTATATACATAATAATCTAAGCCATTTACCATCAGGTAGGTAAGCTTTATCTTCTTTTATTAAAAAAAAATAAGTCAACAAAATCAAACCCACAAATCTAAAACTATATAGTTTCTAATTCTAACAACGACGTATCTTAACGTTCGTTTGCCTGGCTCGGCTACTCTGAATCGGCTTTTGAGGTGGGCACACTAACCTGTGTATGGAGAATTTACCCGACTGTCAAGGAAGGGTTTTATGGTTTTCGCGCGTGTCTTGTATGTTTGTAAATATCTTTATTACCAAAGGGCTGGATGGATTTCGACAATTAAGGTATCATTTTATTCGTCTTAGAAACCCGCTGTTTGAAAAAAATAAACAAAATGGAGGATATTTGGCGCAAAATAGTAATACGTTAATTAAAAGAAAATATTGTAACTGTATTTTTGAAGTAAATGGCATTCAATAGTGGCCCCCGTGTAACTTATATATATGTACCGCATTAGAAATTGGATAAGTTGGTGTGGATAGAGGGCTGTGCTGAAAGAATTTTCATTATATATTAATTATTTATCCAAAAAAAAAAAAGATATACATCCATAGCGTGAAATAAAATAAAAAATCTTCGTGCGCCAAAAATCACGCAGGTTGCATGTCTGAGAAATTCCAAATATTTGGATTGAGGTATGTAAAGTCCGCCAACACATCGAGGTAGCGCGGCGTACTCTTTGTTACTCCAAAACCTTTGTGTGACATATGTAAACCTTTACATTTGTGATAAATAAAAAATATGTATAACGTTCATGTGTTTCATTTCTTTATTAAACAGATAAAAATTTCGTACACAGCTATGTATTTTATTTAGTTACACGAAGGGCTGACCTTTTTAATAACAATTGGGACAGCAAAGTAATAAAACAATCGATTTTAAGATATCTCGTTTTATTAGCACAAGGGTGACAGTAAAGCCCGCAATGTCATTGGAAATTAAAATAAAACAAACGATTCAACAAATCATGACTCAAGGTAACAGGGAATAGTTTTAACAAATAAAACTATTAATAAAATTACACTTTAAAAGAATAACAAATCACTACGGACATATACGCGTACGCCCATGTTACGCGTTATGATCGTATAAAGTCTATCCACACGAGGTTATCTGAGCACGGAAACATTTATTTAATTCTTTCAAATCGTTCAAACACAATAACCTCGAATGGAGTAGGTATTTTCACCCAATATGCGTCGCCCACATACCTACATATGTATATAAAATGTGTTTGGCATTTTTATATACGTTATATTATGTTGAAATATAATATCCCACTCGTGTCACTTTACACAATTATTTTGATTCCATATAAGTTAAAATATCAACTACTTTTGTTAATTTATATAAGTCGTTTTCAAATAAATCACTCTTTTGTAGACGGTAAATGCCATATTAGGAATTAAATACATTAAACTACACGTTAAATACTTCTTTAATTATATATAACAGTTCAAACAGCATATAATAATTGCCATTACATTATTCTATCATCAATTCTTAGTACATATTGGTAAAATCAGTAACGAAAAGCAGGCACACTTTGCAATTTCGACATACATAATATATCTTGTATAATATATAGATATAACTTTATGCTAATCTATTTAACTAACTTGTATAGCGATAGACACATAAAACAGTGTTTATACATTTCTAAAATTTCATTATAGAAAAAAATCTCTTAAAATATATCTCAATAAATTCTTTTAAGTGCCCCGTAGAGACGGAGTCTAAATAGACGATATATTTCAGCGATGATATAAATAGAACATTTACTTATTTACTTATTACTAATAAATAGGAAGAACTTTAAAAATTTAAAAAGAGAACGTTGTAATTGCACACATAGTAAAAATACTAACACGTTCACGACGAACTGTCGTGGCATGAACAAACACCGCATCAACTCCATAAATTATGCTTCCCTTAAAATTACAATAGGCATTTATTATGTTACAATATATCAAAATCAAAGACGAAATTAACTTATGATTTTGTACATAGAAATTGTAGTCGTTAGTTTTATTATAAAATACATAGTATTACATATAAGTACTCGAGCTCACTTTAAGTCACTCTTATATAATTAGTAGAAAAAATGGAATGTTATTTAATTCTAAACGAATGTTAGTCAACCTAAAGTTACGTGCCACGAATGCAAGTCTTTTGCGCAAAATGTTGGCAAGACCTGAATGAAAATTAGAAACTGTGAGATTCAGTTAACGGCTATTCTTTCATCGAGGATCGAGATTTAAATAACCAAGTACTCATAACCATATGATAACGAATATAGTAGAATTTTAGTAAGGATTAGCTCCATGGAAATTCAAAGTGGGAGAGAGCAGTCCGAAAATAATGATATATGGCGCTAGGACTTGGTAATGGCGCAATCAAGGTAACGTACGTAATGTTTAATGTAATTTTAGTAGAGTTATGAAGATGAATAATTATGTTTCCCACGTTATAGTTATGCCGTTATTTGTACTTGTCGATCAATAGAGCGCAGTACGAACCGAATCTAAATACAGCTATATTTATCGTGCGGTCTTCACTGAGTCCGCTTCAGGTTGCTACGTAGAGACTAGACTTCACCGAAAACCGAAATTATTTGCTATAGCACGGTCTCGGAGCAGGAATTTTTTTATTGCTTTGCATTTTTAAACTTAATTCCCATCATAGTTTTATTTCTATTGCAACTAAGACAATTTTAGCACATTTTCAACACTGATTCGAAAACCGAGTTTATTCTCAAGATGTTAAAGTTCACATTTGTATCAATTGCAATAATTTGTAATTCTTCCTGCTCCGCGATCACGTCATATCAAGATCGGTCTTTTTGGGTCCGTTATTTGATGTACACATCTTACGTTATTCTTAAATACATGATAAAAATCTCTAGGACGATACACATTTCGCTATAAATGCAAATTCATGGAATTCAAAATTAACCGGTAAGACGCACCTTTACGTACGCCTTACATATTATGCTAAGCTTTCGACAGTACCTATCGAATGTCGTTTAATATCTCGGCTTTAACAGATATTTCCGACACTCGGTACGTCAAAATATAACGAAAATTCTTTAAGTAGTTTAGTTACATGGCTTTTCCTTCAATTAATAAAAATCACTGTCGGATCATTAGGCCAGTAATAAAAAGTGGTTAACATTAGATAAAATATTTCAGTATATATTATTATGAAGTATAAAGCGGTTCGCCTGTAGACACAGACAGCGACGTACTAATGAAATGTACGCTTTGGGTAACAATTACAGTGCTTAAACTAATTGCATATTTTAATAAAAACACGCACAAATTAAGGCCTAAATTATAATGCTTCGGTAGCATCAAATATATATAACGAGATTTCAAACAACATGCGTAGATAACTATCGATACCTAAGAGCCCAGTACGATTCCCTGTCATCGAGTCGTCTCTCGACGGAGCGGCGCTGAGTCGTGGAAATAAATAACTAAAGGTGGCACTTCACAGTCGGTACACCTTACAATTGAAATGCAGGTATGACCACGTATAATCCAGCACCACGGAATACCTACTTAATAACAAATACAGTGAGCAACCATTCGAACGATTATCATTCCTTTCCTTTGGATACCTACGCTACCTCATATAATTGTAAATTACATCCAAAATATACATTACAAATATTCACTCCGATATAGGGACAGTGTCATTGTTACATTTTCTATTAAATATTTAATTAATCGTGGGAATGTTTCATATTTGATTTCGCACAATTTACTTTAAGCGGAAATTTATGATCAGATCACAGGCCAATAGAACCCTAAATGTCACTTGTAGTAAAAGAAATAAGTTAAAAAACAACAGAAGTAAGTAGTTAAGATACAGTATTTAAAACAAAAAAAAAATCATATGAATTCGAAAGCAGAAAGATTTAAAATTAAAATAACAGAAATTAATTACAATATTGCCCTTCTCCAAGTATGTGTTCTTACACATTATTTCAGGTTTATAATTATGGCTTGTGATCTGATAGAGTTACAGATTATAAACACTATAAGACAAATGCCTCCAAAAATATTTTTGTCTATGATTTTCGATTAATGTCAGAATTTTTGTCAAAATTGGGAAGTAGAATGATGCGTTAAGTCCCTACAATGCTACCGCAGTTTTTAGCAGGATGTGACATTATGCGAAAGCTTTCTGTGATGACGTCACTTTCTTGCATTGCGAGTGACGAGGGCCTGGAGGGCGGCCAATTGACTGAGCAAGTTTGCATTCTTTTGTTCCAACGTCTCCACCCTCTTCCTGTAGTCCGAATTTTCTGACACTAATATTTCTACCTTCCTTTCTAGTTGGTCCATGTATTCCTTCTTCTTGCGTCTACTTTCTTGAGCAGATATCTAAAGAGAATAATTGAAATACTTTATTAGTATGCCACGTTACTGGCGGCTTAGGTAAATTTATTAATCATCACAATGATGTTAAAAAAGTATAAATACGTTTATGTGTAACAATAATCGTTAAAAATCGTTCTAAGCTCGTAAAAGTGATACAGAAAAATAGAGTATATCTAGAGTAGGGTTGCCACCTTTTTTTTAATAGATGTAGTATTTTGCCAAAAAAAGTCGCATAAATATAGTAGTTTTGGTAAATTCAGGAAAAGAAGTACACATTTATATTTAATCTTTATGCATTTCCTACATAAATTTGTTATTGCTCTTCGCTTTGGCCATCAACCTTTAAAATAATTATAGGAATATGAGCAATTTAGATTCATATTAAAATAAACTAAGAATTCATTGTTAATTAAATTTATTATCTATTTCTTTCTTCTTACCATTTAACATTCATGACGGAAAAATTCTTTGCGTAAAACTTACTTGCCCAGACTTCCAGTCACAGTTAATTATTAACTGTGACAGTAACTGGATTTTATAAAAATCGCGACATTTGAATTAGGGGAAAAATATAGTATTTTTCGTACTATATTATTTTCTATAATATATAATACATACTATTAACTGAAATATAGTACGATACTATATATTATAGTACGGGTGGCAACCCTAGGCGAGAGTCAGTGCTAAGACTTGACAAATTAAAGCGCCTACTTCTGAAGCTATTATGTGGAAATTATTTTATTATTTTTGGTGTTTTACTTTGAAGTCTGCTTTTACTTTTAATTAAAAGTCCATTTTTACTCTTTTGGGTGAACTAAGGAATATCACTCTATTCACTGATTAAAAAACTTTTTCTTCAAAACTATAAGGGACCATGACGGCAGTATAAAATAATTTATGAAAAAAGAATTATCTAAATCGGTTTACAATTGACGACGATATCGATATCGAGTAACATACTTACAAGAAAACAAACCAGCGTAAAATAGCAGCTTAACGCTGCTGTGTTTCGTATGGTGAGTGTAGAGAACCGGAGACCCTTTTTACTGGCAAAGAGGCATTCCAGTCCTCACGGGTGACAACGCATTTGCATCTTGAGTCTTTATTGAGGATAGATGTAGATGTCTATGGGTCACAGTAACCACTTACCATCAGGTGGACTGTGTGCTCGTTTGTCACCCGATCCTATAAAAAAAAACATACAGACCAATTGAGAACCTTCTCCTTTTTTTAAATGGCTTAAAGACAAGGCGATACAATCACACGAATGAAAGAGATAGTTTAGAAAGAGATAGCTGGTCTAATTCTATTCTATTTAGACTAAAATATTCAGACCAGACCAGTCTTGAACGTATTTTGCTATTTGGTCCAACCGACCAACCGTCTGCTAGCGTGGCTATGGCGGCAAAACAGGCCAATGTTCGGTTATAGACTGGAGGATGGAGTATGAACGGTGTAAAAAATAGTTACCTTATTTTTAATTTTCCTCCTGATCTTCTTAAGAGATTTCTCCTCGGCTTTTGTGAGAGGTAGACGTGTTGGTACCGGGTATCCCTCTGCTAGTAATGTGCGCTTTTCTTCTTCTGTTAGTACCAAGGTGCCTGTAGATCCTTTCTATAATAAATAAAATAACGTGTTAGTGTTTAATTTAAACGAATAAATTTATATTACTGCAATAATTGCAATAACGGTATATCATTATTCATAATATATTTAAACTTAAGTTTAAAATTTAGCTACACTTTGAAAAATAACCCTGAATATACATATGTACATAAAATTATAGAATAGGTAATATGTATTTATAAGTAAGAAGAATAAAACAGATATAATATGGACATTTATAATATAGGTAATATGTTATAATATGTATGTATTTATAATATGTCTTAAGCTTAATTACAAATAACATAATGTTACGAGCTTAGTGTTCGAGACAATTAATAACTGCCGATTTAATTACCAAAATTGAAACTATAATTACAGAGCACTAATTACAACTTAAACCACACTAATACTAAAACAGAATTGTTCTACTGATCACTTAAGTTCGCAGTTGTATCGCTTCGAAGTATTCGCTTATATCGCCAATTCAATACTGTCTCGGTCGCGGTCTATACTGGCCTTATAAAGGGCCTCAGGTAGTTTCCAGAACCTTCTACTATAGAAACATCTAGAATTTTCAAGTACATATCGGTCCCGATATTTCTAGAAGGATCTTGACTCTCCTAGTTTTGCTACTCGATACTAGAGGGCGCTAGTGGTAACTAGTGTTGCCATGTACAAGACATTAATAGTGGCGCGCAACAATAATATAAATATAACTACGAAAAAGTTAAATCGAACAAAGTATCTTTAGTTTAAAACAGGCTTATGCTGTTAAATTGACGAATAAGTGGGGCAAGTTGCTTCAGCATTTATAGCTTCATAATTCATATTGAAAACTCCCGCGGAATGTTGCCGTTGTGAACGGTGTGTAGAGGTGCGCACTCACCGGCTGGCTGCTGATGAGCGGCGTGTTGATGGGCTGCCGCGAGTGCTGCGACACGTAGAGGTGCGCACTCACCGACTGGCTGCTGATGAGCGGCGTGTTGATGGGCTGCCGCGAGTGCTGCGACACGTAGAGGTGCGCACTCACCGGCTGGCTGCTGATGAGCGGCGTGTTGATGGGCTGCCGCGAGTGCTGCGACACGTAGAGGTGCGCACTCACCGGCTGGCTGCTGATGAGCGGCGTGTTGATGGGCTGCCGCGAGTGCTGCGACACGTAGAGGTGCGCACTCACCGGCTGGCTGCTGATGAGCGGCGTGTTGATGGGCTGCCGCGAGTGCTGCGACACGTAGAGGTGCGCACTCACCGGCTGGCTGCTGATGAGCGGCGTGTTGATGGGCTGCCGCGAGTGCTGCGACACGTAGAGGTGCGCACTCACCGGCTGGCTGCTGATGAGCGGCGTGTTGATGGGCTGCCGCGAGTGCTGCGACACGTAGAGGTGCGCACTCACCGGCTGGCTGCTGATGAGCGGCGTGTTGATGGGCTGCCGCGAGTGCTGCGACACGTAGAGGTGCGCACTCACCGGCTGGCTGCTGATGAGCGGCGTGTTGATGGGCTGCCGCGAGTGCTGCGACACGTAGAGGTGCGCACTCACCGGCTGGCTGCTGATGAGCGGCGTGTTGATGGGCTGCCGCGAGTGCTGCGACACGTAGAGGTGCGCACTCACCGGCTGGCTGCTGATGAGCGGCGTGTTGATGGGCTGCCGCGAGTGCTGCGACACGTAGAGGTGCGCACTCACCGGCTGGCTGCTGATGAGCGGCGTGTTGATGGGCTGCCGCGAGTGCTGCGACACGTAGAGGTGCGCACTCACCGGCTGGCTGCTGATGAGCGGCGTGTTGATGGGCTGCCGCGAGTGCTGCGACACGTAGAGGTGCGCACTCACCGGCTGGCTGCTGATGAGCGGCGTGTTGATGGGCTGCCGCGAGTGCTGCGACACGTAGAGGTGCGCACTCACCGGCTGGCTGCTGATGAGCGGCGTGTTGATGGGCTGCCGCGAGTGCTGCGACACGTAGAGGTGCGCACTCACCGGCTGGCTGCTGATGAGCGGCGTGTTGATGGGCTGCCGCGAGTGCTGCGACACGTAGAGGTGCGCACTCACCGGCTGGCTGCTGATGAGCGGCGTGTTGATGGGCTGCCGCGAGTGCTGCGACACGTAGAGGTGCGCACTCACCGGCTGGCTGCTGATGAGCGGCGTGTTGATGGGCTGCCGCGAGTGCTGCGACACGTAGAGGTGCGCGCGGCGGGCGGGCGCGGCGGGGGCGGGCGCCGCGCTCGGCTCGTGCGCCGGCGACAGCGCGCCCTCGCTGTCCGACGACGACAGCGACGACGGCGGCGTCGGTGGTAAGTTGAAGCCTGTCGACAGTAGTGGCACATTAATAAGTACTGGCTGAGAAACGAATAACACAAAGTATTAACATACTATGCGCGCATCACAGGAATAGAACTGTTACATTGACTTTTCACAAGACATTGAGTTCATGACATCAAGTTTGTTCCGTTACAGTCTATTAAAGTCCAGTGCTGAATATAGATCTTCATAGATTACCTTATATGGGGGACATTTGCCATAGTTGCCAGCCGCAATAAATAATTAATGGACACCCCTTAAGAGGGTGGTATCCATCAAGACGGAACTAGGCGAAAAAGGAGACATATCACTTAAGTAAACTAGTAAAACTATTATATACTATACTTATTATGTGTCATATGAACAGTCTGTCGTCATTGTGTAGCAGTTACCTGATGCGCCTGAGCTGGAAGTGACTTTGATGGAGAGTTTGTTGCTGCTGAGCGAGTTGGCTATACGTGGCGCCGCGGTTAACAGCAGCTGGGGCACCGCCGCCGCGCCCACCTTTTGTAGCACTGCTTGTGGCATGTGAATTGTTCCCGTCTGGAAACAAATTTAGCATGTCAATATTACGAGTAAATAAAACGAAACGTGTAGTTTTCTTTAATTTTTTCATAATATTGTTTTTCCATAACATCATTTTCTTAAAAAAGTATGCCACTTTTTGATTACTTGTTTTATTTTTTTTCTTAATATATTTTTTTTAATATTAGGATGACAAAGAACTAATAGTAAGTCCATCCTTTTTTTGCTAGGTGCTACTGTACTGACTTTGAAGTTGTCAAACAAAGTAACTATAAAAAACTGTTACGGACATATTATCATAGCCCTCGCGTCTGACAACGAAGTGTGTGTGTGTCTTTTCAATGTTTCCGTTAGCCTTCAAACATGACATACGACAAATCGGCAGAAACGCGAAAATAATAATATAGTCCAAGCTGAATTTCGGCCACGGCAGCCAGCCTCAACGGATCATAGCCATCTTGCGCAAGACAGAATATTAGCGCACGAGTTTGTACGCAAGCACAGGTCTACGTACTCTCTATTCCCTAACTCCTCAACACACGAAGCGATCCGACACGACCAGAGGGAGATCAGGTGCAGTTCCAACACAGCTTTAAGTGATTTCCGAGGCACGGGGGTGAAACGACTCCAACTTCGTGACTCCAGGCTGCTGCTGAGAATTTCTTGACAGAATAATCTTTGGTCATATGGGATGACATGATCAGGTAGGTAATCGTAGTTACACCCACCAGATCAACTAGGCACTTGAGTTACAGTAACGATATTTTTTTATTAATTCATCCTGTGATTTATTCGGAATGTGGTTTGAGGTGAAATTTCATAGTATAATAGATAAAAAAAGTTCGTAGCAAATTTGGCCTATCGTAATGGGATTCACAAAAAATTCGGTCTTACGAAAAACGATTAAGATTCTTTAAAATTTTATCCCTGGAAAATCTAAGAAATTTGCATAACCTGTTGCATTTTCTTGTAAAAATTTTTAACCAAAAAATGAACTGTCCGCCTTTGCTACAAAAATTTAAATTCAAATTTCGTGTTCCATTGAGAATTCCTCGCGCTTCCATTACTCCGCTTTGCCCTCCTTTTAGGAAATCTGTCTTAGGTGCAAACTTCCCAATTCCAAGGTTGTGCAAATTGGTCAATGGACATAGTGACTTAGTTGACATTCACGCCGACTCATTTGCCAAAATTAAGAAGTTCTAGCTTTAGCTGGTCTGAAACCAACAAATAAATTATAGTTTTTTTTTTTACCATATATTTATTTTCTGATGAAGATGATATTTCTTTTTATTCGTATTTATAATCTTTCTCGATGCATGTGATTACACTTAGCTACATAAGTTAGTTCTTAAGCCATTTTATTAAATACAGTGTAATCAAACATAAACCTTAATAAATAAAATTAAATAAAAATTAAATATGCGACAGTAGTAAAATAACCTTTAGAAAAACTCCGGCAAAATTGTTATCATTTTTTCATAACCTATGAGAGCTTTTTATGGAATGATCATCTGACAGTTGAATACAGAAATCGTCGATATAACATTGCGTGTGGCACAATACTTGCGGCAAACCAAGGAAAACTTGAGCGCTATCAGTTTGGTGCTTGCATTTTGTGTTGTTTTTACTTGTGCTTTATTAATTTAGTTTCAATTATATATATCGTTTATATTCTAACAATATTCTAATATTACGTAGTTTCTTTCTAACAGTATATTTTGAGGAATTTTATAGCACAATAGCGTATTTACGGAGAAAGTTGCAGTAATGCTGTTAAAGATAGACGCACTCTAATGACCTAAGTATTTTTCGTCTAGTAATTGTGTATAGACTGCGGCGACCGTAATGGGGAAGTGTTTCGCTTATTGCTTAACTTCATCTTTAGTATTATTCTTTTAACTAGAAAGAGGGAGATTAATGTAACGGTAAGTTATTTTACGTAATGAGAAATTCTTTAGTCATAGATCTGGACCTATCACTGCGTTTCGAATGGCAAGTTACGAGAACCGAGAGACTATTTTTTATTGGGAACTAGGCATTCCATCTTATTTTACAGGCACCAGGTACCAGGCAGTACCTGTGAAATAAAATGGAATGAATATTACCATTTTAATGGTTTGAGTTCTCCGCGCCTCGATTGAGTTTCCCACTTTTTTTTGACCTTACATATTATGTAGTAAAATTCTGCCGATTCAGTATTATACAATTGCTTTTATCTACACAAATAAATAAAATTGAGGTGCCTATTTGTAATGTCAAAATAACAGCTTTTTACTAAATGTGAAAGTATATACGGTAATTATAACAAAAATACAATTTTTAAAATATTTGTTTGTCTGTTTGTGCCGGCTAATCTCCGAAACGGCGGGACCAAAGAGACGGGAGAAAAATAATTAGGCTTCCACGCAAAAAAAAATATAATCCATGAAATCAAATCGTAATAAATTACACGCCGTGCCGTCGAAATAGCGGCAACAGCTAGTTTTTATATAAAAATGCAGTGACAAACAAACTCAAAGTCCAACTGATGGTAAAGGGCTATTGTAATCTATGGACATCATAACACATTAAAGTCCACAGTTCATATTATAATTTACCCATGATTGCCCCTTTCTAGCTCAATGCCCTTTTTCTTCCCTTCTGGAGTCTAAATTCCCCCAAAAAGATCCATCCATCATTAATTAAAACCTATCAAAAGCCTCCCCTATAGCTTGTCTCATAGACAGAATATCTGCCATAGTTAGCACGTTACGCAAGTGGGTTTGCAAGCACAGTTTTTGTATTAGTTTGAGTTACTTTGTTCCAGCGAGATACTGCTGCCTATCTTCGGATCGTTTGTGCGTTATACAAAATGATTTAAAAAGAAAATTATAAAAATCATTCGAAAAGGAAAATACATATAATATACAGCCAATAAAACGAGCTTAGATTAATAATAGGTTATCGCGGTCTGAGCGCGCGAAGAAACGAGATAAAGATAATTATTTGAAAGTGGTTGTGTGTGGTGGCTAAAAAATAAAAAAACAAACACACTCACACAAAAACATGTAAAAATATTTTTCCTCTACACAGAAGGGTGACAAATGAGCACACAGTCCACCTAATGGTAAGTGGAGACCGTGAACCATAGATTTATGCTCGATTGAAAATCAAAATGCAGATGCGTTGTCACCCCTGAGGACTAAGATGAAATGCCTCGTTTCAACTAAAAGGGGTCTGCGGTTCTCTACACTCATCATACGAAACACAGCAGCATTATGATGCTCTTTGACGCTGGTATTCTGTACGAGCGTGGTCCTTTCCCGGGCTGAGCCGACCCGTTCAAGCTACGTCCACAGAATAAAGTTACAGCGTGGCTCTACCACGTATAATAAGTTATTACTGGACTAAGATTTAAAATTCATAGAAAAGATAATTTATGTATAATAAGAGGTGAGTGTCCCACCATAAATAAAATAGTGCGCAGAAACTGCAAATTTTAAATGTATTATATTGCATCTTACCGTGTGGTCAATTACGTAGTCTAGTTGTGTGAGGGGCGTGCCAGGTGTAGGCGAGGGGGGACATGAGGAGGCTGGCGATTCGGGCTCCGACTTGGGCTCAGCCTTCACTTCTGTTAGCGATGAGCTTGACCGTCGCCTGCTCCGCCACGCGCTGGCTGGGATTGTTGGATAGCATTCGTCTTCCATATCTGAAATAATAGTTAAAACGAGAGGTAAGTCATACGTACGTAAGAATTAACGAGTCCACTTCGCACGCTCCAGTTGCTGACCACATTAAATGTCTGGATATGTTAGTTCAGGTATTGTTGGAATAACAATGCTTATCATTACTGTAAGATACAACTGTCAACGTAAGTGATAACATAAGTGTTCTGTTTTGTTCAATTTAGCACGGAACAATTAAATTCCCACCACTCTTAACATCATGTGGGATTGTAGTTAAGCATTGGTTAACATTAATAACATTAACGTTTTTTCATTCATTCATTCATTAATTTTACCTTCTCAAATCCACCGCTAATCACAAGGCTCCCATAGATGACCTCATAAGAAGGATATTTTCCATAGTTGTCACGCTTGGCAGGTGGGTTGGCATTCATGATTTTTATTTTCTTGTTATTATCACAGAGTAAATAAAAGTACAAGAATTACTATTAAGAAGACGTGGCTGCCCATCTCAATTATCAATTATAAAACATGTTAGATTTGAAATTGTGCATATTTTTCTATTATTAACAGGCATAATAGGTAAAAAAAATTAAGCCCAATTTCCGCTTGATGTTGGATAAGTGTCTATTATTAATTAACAGATGCACCTTATTTAAAAATAGCTGTCCACCGCTGTGCCCCGCGATTTCAACCGCGTGGAATTTACTACGATTTCATATCAACCCTAATTCTTTTTCTCAAATAAAAGTATCTTAGGTTACTCCTTATAACATCAGCTATCTGCCAGTGAATGTCCCGTCAAAATCGGTGCAGCCGTTTCAGAGATTAATCGGAACAAACAGACATACAGACTGACAGATAGAGAAAAACTTTAAAAATTGTCTTGTTATTATTAGTACCGTATATACTTTCATATGCATTTAGTAAAAAGCTGTTATTTTAACATTACAAACAGACACTTCAATTTTATTTATTTGTATAGATTTTACTTTAACGTGCATAAACTATTCTCTTCAATTTAAATAAATGAAATTAATGAAAAAAAAAAGTAAAGTACGCTACAGTGTATAACGGCTTCAGCGCAAATCCGATCCATTCGATCGTTGAAGGAACACGCTCGCATATAATAACAGCGTGAATACAGGCACGGTGTTCCTGTGTTGCATGTATGGTAATTGTCGAGAATAGGAAAACCATTGTAACATGATTGCTGCTGAAATACCTATGCATTTTGTTTCTAACCCTATGATAGACATAGGTAGTCTGCGCCACAACAGCCACTGACCATCAGGTGGACTGTGTGCTCGTTAGTCACTTTCACTTCTATAAAATGATCACATTACTATTATTAGTGAATAACGTGGAAGTTATTAAACTAAATTTCTTAATTCCCGTTAATAGCCGTGTAAGAACGTAGAAAACAATTAAAATGCCGGAATAAGAAAATAAGGTAATGATAGGAGTGCATTAAAAAGAAACTCATAATATGTAAGCGGCACGCTTCCTCTGCTAACTAATTACCGGCCACCGCACCATCTGTATTGTAGTTTGTAGGTGAATGGTTTTTTTGAAATATTAACGGCCTTATTAATTGTTGGTTATCGCTAGTAATTACCTATAGCTCGTCTTTTTCTATTGTCATTTAGTGAAGAGAGAGAGAGAGAGAGAGAGAGAGAGAGAGAGAGAGAGAGAGAGCAATTTTAAGCATTACTGAAAATAATGTCGATTTTAGGAGTTAGGCCATATACCAATCATTAAACATTAGGTACGTTTTATTATTGAAATAATTAAAAAAGGGCCACAATAATATGTGACATTAGGCATCTGTCAATCTTACGAGTAGCTTAAGGTAAGGTTAAGTTGTAAGATAGATCATATTTTAAAATAACACCAAATGTGTGTTGTCTTGCAATAAACGTTTTGAATTTGAATTTGCTTCATATTGAGGTAGCATTCTTAAAATCATTATTATTATGATAATGGTGGAAAAGTGATGAATGGAATAAGGATATTTAAAACATCTGTGAATCGAATACAGTTGTTTTGAAAAAAAAAATAACATCAATTCTTTAAAAAGCACTTCTTGCTTGTATGTACTGTTATTTTAATTGATTCCCATTAGAATTCCTGGCCTTTTATTATATCCAATCGTGATTTTAAGGAAATAAAACAAAACAAGTAAGTAGATACATAGTTGACCAAAAAAATTGCATTTATTCAATTGAATTATCCGAATCATAAACAGTGTTCTCATTTTCATCTGCACTTAGAGATATTATGAATTCATTTTCAACAATATTGTTTATTCTCACATCTTGTTCAAAATCATGTAAGCTTATTTTCTTTGTTTTCTCGACTACTTATCTCCAGTCTTCTTTAGTGACTTCTGCACACGCAGTTTGTAGCAGTGTCAGAATTTTTCTTTTTTATTGTTACGCGCTGTATGGCCTTTTATTTGTGTCCAAATAAGCTCGATAGTCGTTGTATTAGCAGTAGTAGTGAGGCAATCTAATAACTGCGTATCCGTGCTCTATGGTCAGTTCATCGATCATAGTCTTGGACGGCTTAGTTGTTTTCACTAAGTTCTATAACTCAACTTTCTAAATAAAGTTGGACTTGCTTCTTCATTTCTTTTCAGCCAAGAGAGAATTTCTTACTTTTTATTTGCTTGAACTGGTGGTTTGTTAACTCAAACTGAAACCGGTAATTACTTGTAGTTCCCGTCACGTCTCACGTGGCGTTCAGCAACTTACGTTCAGCACAACTATACAATACATATTTTCAATTTTATTATTATCATTCATCAGTTTTTATTCTCATATATATCTACTACTCGCTTAATGTCGACACTTACGGCTCCGTAGAACCGTATGGGGCCGACTGAAAATCAGCGTCGCTATCCCGCGGCTTATGCTGAGGCGGTCCCTTCCGCCACTCCATCTGTTTCATTATTAAGTCATGAATTGTTGTTATGGCCTCAATTTTTTTTATTTATTCATTTTCTTGTGTTGTTTTTTTATTTTATTCTTATTCGTATTAATTTTGTTTATTCATTGTATTGTAATTTGTGATTGTAATCTGAAGTGTCGGAATAAATGTCTCTATGTCTTTATGAACTTCAGAAGCTGAGCTCGCGTGACATAATACCTATAATAAGGCGATCTCTCGCTTGCGTCACAGGTAAGAGTGGTTCACCATTATCAGATTCACGCTCAAAATAGTTGCGAAATTTTACTAGCAGTTCGCGAGATTGACTGTTTAGCGTTTTCCTCGTTTAGACATCGTAACAAGAATAGTAGTATAAGTCGTTAAGCAATTGGAGTCCAAATTATGGCCACGTAAACGTCAAAGTAAAATCATCAATGAGAAAAGCCGGCTCAGAAGCAAAAATAACAGAGAGGACACTAAAAAATTATAACTGCGATTAAAAACAATTTCTTTCTGAAAAATATTCTCCACTTTTTTTTAAGCAAACACGTGGTTACAAAATTGAAAACAACAACAAAGTAATATCGTTGTAAAAATCTTTGTTTTGTTTTGTTTTTCTTTTTTAAGCTTTTACATTATACATTTTAACACGTTATAAATATTGTAGGTGGATAAAATTATAACGATACAATATTACGTAACACTATTTAAGCGATGTTGCAAGTTTATAGTTGCGTCATTGAGTACAAAACATGAATGTGTTCAATTCATTAAGTGTATTGTTAATGGACAAACGGTACCTAAGTGGACATCATTTAAAAAAAATACAAATATTTAATTATCTAAGGCGTTTCAACTTTTAGCTATATGTTAAAGCTATTTACAACCATCAAATACAACACCTTTATTTCAGGATATCAAGGAATTAAAAATTAAATATATAAAAGCAAAAACACGAACCTGGTGATTTTAAATTCGTTGACCTATTATTGAACAACAGACTGCATATGTATGGAGATCAAAATGATCAACCTTTACAAGTTTCATTATTATAAATTTCCAATTTTTCAAAGTTTGCTGTACAAATACTTTTTTTTTCAACATACATTTAAACGTGTACCACTCAGAGAAAAGTTTTATGGTTAAAGACTTTATTATTAAATATTTCAAACAACTCTCCACCAGTATCTATACAAAGTTTCGTGCGTCTTAAACAATTTTCGAAACACTTTTTCAGTTGTGCATCATGTCTCCTTACCGCCCCACGCGAGCCTACCTCTGAATATCGGCGAGGTAGTGCGGCTCTCAACGCGGAACAATTCTTCTCGCGCAAAGGTTTTGTGTAACATTTTCGTGAATGCTTCCCGATCCGATTTCCAATACGTACTGAATCTCTTCATACGTAATTCGTCTATTCTCGTAATTTTTTTTCTCTCCTGCACGTTTCCTTCCGTAACAGCTGTCAAAGGGCAATGATTTCTTTCTTCATCTCTTAAAGTTTCCTCAGAATGGAAAATTAAACTCTTCTCAAACCTTGCCTTTATCCGTGAATGGCAATACAAGTACAACATTACGCAAAAATTTTCCCGACGCAGCTCGTTAAAAAAGTGGAAAAAAACTTGAGATAAAACATTCGTATTTAAAAGTTTAAATACATAATCGTATTTTTAATATAAATTATAACTGGCTTGTGTCTTATACAAAAAAAAAGATGTCATAGGAAGAAAAAAAAATCATAAATAATAAAGTGCTATGATACAAGACAACAAAATGGACAACTATCTTCAGTATTTTCTAAAATTTATTTACATATATACCTAGTCAGGTCATAAGTATTGTCACACAGTAAAAACTTTTCTTTTAGAATGCTGGCCACAAAATAGTTTATTGAATTCGAATTTCGAATTGTTCGTGAAAATAAAACTATATTATACTTTTTAGAATTTTACTCATTTTTAAATATGGAGTGGACGCTTAAAGAAGACCGTGTTGCAGTTATTGCGTAGCATCGTTGCGGTTACGCGCCAATTCAAATTTTTGACATACTGAAAAATTTGAATATAACCAAAAGGTTCGTTTATCGTACCATCAA